ATTGTATTCACATCCAAACATGCCAAGGTTATTGTTGAGCAGCGTTTTCAATACAAACTAACAAACTATGCAAACTATCGTATTGGTACACCCCAATTGCACAAAATCTCTTTTTAGATGAGATGGTTTTTTAATATTATTTTTATCTGGAAAAATAATGTGCTTATCAGATCAGGGCAAACAATGTCGTTCTAAGAGAAAAAAAGATGAATCCAGAAAGAATAAATAGACCTCAGTATTTTTGTTATAGATGAATAACAATCACGTGATCAGGATTCAAAAACGCTATGCTATCAGTTATGGTGAGTTGGCCCTGGTTTCAGGGTGAGAGTATCTTAGGCCTTTCTCGAGCTTCATTAAACAATTACAACAGGCATTTTGGTCTATAGTTTTGATACAAATAAGACCATACCAGGCATGGTTTCCTATCTCAAAAAAGGTCTATATAAGGGCCTCCTCTTTCAGCTGGCGAAAATTTTATTCGCACTGACTGGTAATAAGTTGAAATCAGAAATATTATTTTAAAGGATTTGCACAGTAATAATAATAATAATAATAATAATAATAATAAAAGCTAAATTATAATTAAAAATCAATCTATTAATAATAGAATTTTTAAAACGTTCTGTGGAGATCTTTTCCCAGTTTCTGAGGAGAACATATATTAGCACCTAGTATCATACTCGTTTCTGTCAAGAGGGATACGTCCACACGTATCCGGTAATTTTTGTATCTGCAATTTTTTTTTTGCGGATACAGTTGCGTCAACACGTGTCCGGAAATGTTTGTATCCGTATCCGCAAAATTTCGAATACGCTGGCGTAAACACGATTTTGCGCATGCTCAATGAGAAAAACTATCCGTCAAAGGGACTAGGCACTCTAGCGTGCATCAGGGCGGATCAAGAAATTTCCGGATACGTGTGGACAGTGAAAACGATTGGAAAAATATTTGAATACGCAGCATGTGGACGCGAACATTTTCGTATCCGCAAAAAAAAAAAAAAAAAAATGGCGGATATAAAAATTTCCGGATAAGTATGGACGGGGCCTTAATTTACATTCGTAGTCCATAGCTTGATTAAGCCCTGCTGCTATGAGAAATAAGACAATGCTCTGTTATATTAAAAGAAAAAATCAATATTTGTGAAGCTTTTAATTAATCTGTAATACGAATCCAATGAAATAGGATTTCATTAAAACTTAATAAAGAAGTACAATGATTTTCAGACGGATCAAAAACAAAACACTTCAAAATGACGTTATTAAAATAATAATAAAACCAGCTGTGTATTTTTGGAATGGCAACAAACCTACAGGCAACACAACCTGACTACATAAGAAGATAGTTCCTACCTCAAGTCCGATCAATAGCTGTACAGATTTTGATGTGATCACATATCGGTGGAAGTTCGAACCCGAGGTCATGCCAGCTACAGGGGAAATCATTTTTTCTGTCGTGCTCTCTGCTGTTCTCGTTTTTAACATAGCAGGAAACTCCCTCGTTATTTACATCATCAGGAATGAACGAGGAATGAAAACCTCCACAAACTATCTGCTGTTGAACTTGGCTGTAGCAGATCTTTTATTTGGTGTTTTTTTTGCTCCTGAATTCATTTTCCTGCCTTTCTTTCGTCAATCCGTGCCTGATGGAGTTCTTGGTGACTGGCTGTGCAAAATACTCTTAGGAAGTAACATCGGTTGGGTGGCGTCCAGAGCTTCTATTTTCACCATGATTTGTTTATCAGTTGAACGATACTTTGCTGTTTGTCGTCCTCACACCTTCCGTCAGCGTTTCTCGATAAAAATCGTCAAAGTGCTCATTGTGGTGTCCTGGATATTTGCTGTTGTTATGCTATTTCCATTACTTGTTCATATTCATTTTAGCAGAGATGATTATCGCTGCTCCCTCGACAAGTCGATTTTCAAAGGTTATATGTTGTATTCTTTGGTAGAAATAACTTGTGTCTTATCTCTGATGATATCTTTTACTGTGAAAATATTCATTTCCCTCTGGTGCAAGCAGACAGTCGAAGCTACAGGAGAACGAGAGATCACCGAGAGAAAGAAGAAAAAGAAGGTCACGTTGTGTGTTCTTGCTGTAGTTGTCACATATGTGGTGTGCTGGAGTCCTGCTGCAATAAACTTTGTCGTAGCACTTGGGTCATCATCAGCAATACAACCGGAATTATTTACAGCATCAGTTCTGACGTCGTCTATCAATGCTGCTCTTGACCCGTATCTGTTTAGCTTCCAAAGTTCAAGATTTAAGGTTTTGTTCAAGAAGGTTCTTTGCTGTAGAAAAGAGTCTTCAGGGTAATTAATGACTGGAAATTGTCAGTTGAAGGTCAACAAATGAGACATACTGCTGGACGGATTGTACTGAACACTATACTTAAAAGATTGACGAATCGACCGCGCTGTGATCTTATCCTGGTCCGAAGTCAGATGCCTTGTCCATTAGTCAACGAAGGTCAATCTTGATATATTATCTTAATCATCGCTGGTAATTCAGTTCAACTTATTATAATACACCCAACAAAATTACTCGATTCTGATTGGATAAGAGGAGTACAACCAGTTAAAAACCCCAAACAAAAACTCCGTCTCGTACAATTCGTTATTCATAGAAAACTTTCAAAACATCTCTCGTACCTATGAATTCCAAATAGTGCTCGAGATCGTGCAACTTCCTACACAAATCAAATCACTGTGTTCAACCCAAAATGACTGTTGGAACATTGGACAGCAACATATTTACCTCGCGATCTTTTACTAAATCAATAAAGGATTGAGGAAATTGAAGGATAGAACAAAATGAAAAGACCGAAGAATAAAGGCAAAATACAGACATGATAGGAT